TAACAATTAGCTTCCACAAGTTCATCGTAGCATAAGGTCCCATTTTCTTACTGACTTTAGAGAATGCCTAAACTCTCTAGAGGATCCATCAGCTATTGAAGGACATCTCGCTAATCTGTCAAAACACCAGTAACCGCTTTGATCCATCAGCTGATTCAAAACCAAATTGAGTTCTGCGTTCTCACTATTTTACTTGCAATTGTCAAGAGAGAAAGACTAGCCTTCTTTTAAGCTGGACATATCTCAAACTTCCGAGAAATTTTTATAACTATTGCCCTCGAATCAATAACGGCGAGTTATGGTGCTCTTTACTTCAAAAGCTCAGCAAGTATAATGTGTCCGACCAAATGGACCTTCTTTAGAATACAAGTCTCTAAGAGTTCGGCGTGGACTTCATCCCACCGAACCCATCGTGAGCATCCCACTGAAGAGGAAGTCAAGGTCAGATGGTGGCCAGCACCTGGGCCGCATAGTTTTTGACATTAAGAGCTCCAGATGTTCTAGCAAGAAGGACAGAGGATTTAACGGAGGTTTCGTGAAGCTCGTCTTTTTACAGATCAATCGGTGCTGTCACTGTCAAGAACCCAAGGACAGACAGAGTTCGGAAGGTTGCTTGGTCTCTGGAAGACTCGTCTGTTCTATGGCAAATCCAATGCGGAGATCAAAGAGCCGATAACGAGAACGATACGATGAACCGTCCTGCTGCTAGATTCCAATTCCAACACTTTAGTCCTGTCTTTCCAGATGCCGTTGAAATGCAGTGGAATGCATTATTTAGTGAGTCCCCAGACGTTCATCTTATGCATGCGTAGCGCTGCATAAGGCCATTAAAATGGCGCAAATTTAATAGCTTTGGAGGAGAAAGCTGCAAGCAAAATGTCGGCCAAATTCTAAACATTAGTAAGAGTACATTATAGTAATGTATTAACCGTGGAATTGAAATGATAAATTTTTTTTCACATTTCTTTTAATTCTTGATAAATTTTTTTACAACGAGTTCATTTGTTAGTTTCCTAACAGAATATATATTTTATTCCCAAAAAATTTTGTAGAAAAAATTTATTTTGCATGTTCATCGTAAAAAATTCTTTGTTCAATTAAAGAAATATTTGAATATGTGATCGTCTTATGAATATTTTACATCATTTTAAGTAATTTTCTAATATTGCATATATAATAATATTTAAAACTTCATATATAAATATAATTGAATCATAATAACTAGATGCGTATGTATATGAAAAAATTTTATGCGCCGGACAATTTATGTAGCAAGGAAGCAAAGTGAAGTGAGTTTAATTATGCATTATATATTGAATTGTATAGCGTACTACATACTATACCTGAACATGTGCTCAAATTTCAGATTTAGTCAGACTTGACGTATGTAATGTCCGAGATTGCAGGGATTTCTTTTCAAATGAGAGAAAGGTTGGAGCTCCAATGTTTGCCCTCTGACTGTGCGGGCTTACGGCAGCTTGCCTTCTTTCATACGTACATGAAAAACTGCTAATAAGCCGTGGATTGAAACAATGTGTACGTATTGTCTGAAGTGCAGTGGATAGAATCCGTTACAGATGTCTTTCTCACTGCGACATTCACTGTCACTGACCTGCAGAAGCTGGCGATGTTGACAAACTCAAGGGCTGAGGATTGAAGCTGATGCTGTCGAAGACAGTTCTCAACTTCGCCGACATCTGGAACTCGGACAGAGGCCCAAGTACACTGAACGTGATGCCTTCGAAGGGATTTGTCGAAGAGTTCAGCCCGGCCCCACGTCGTTCAAGACCTCTAGAAGCTGACCATAACTGATAATCCGGCTGAGGATAAGCCACCTACACGAACCATATCTCACACCAGCATGACGTACAAGGTCGGTTGATTTTGACCTCCGTCCTTATCCCTGAGGACGGTCGTCTTTGTTCGTGTCCTGTGATTGCTAGAGGAGGTCTGCAGCTTAATTGCAATGATTCTCTTAATGATTATATTTCAGCAATAATAATTAGTACTGACTCCACGCACAGAATCCTTGGCACCAAAAAGCGCATTTGAACTCAGGTGCTTTGGAGTCACGTACTCCATTATCTGACTCGCGCACATTGTCTGTTCATAACTCACAACTTACAGTTCGACAATAATTTGGTGCAATGCGATATTTCTGGTTATAATCTTGGTCTGGCTTTCTCGCATCTGTTATTTTTCCAAGGATATGGAGAGCCATCCATCTTCTTTTGTAGTTTGCTGCTTCTTTTCAATCCTCAGTATTTCAAGACATGAACTGGAGCCAACATTTGCTATGCCTATCGCACAAGATCTGGTGAATAATAGGAACTCTTCGTTATCCTCTTATATTCTCGAAAAAAATGTATCGCCGCTAGAGTGAAATGAATTATTACATATAAATTGTACAGCCTGTCTACATGATGCGACGAAATTAACGTTTTCCTTCCAGTAGGCTTTGAGCCGGAAATATACATGTTACATACATTTCACATTAATTCAGACAATCTTATGCATTGGAAGCTGGGCAGTACGAAATTTCTGTCCTAGTGCATCAAAGCTATCAAAAGCTCTTATTTGATGACTCTGTTGCTAATATGATTCGTCAAATTGACCATAATAAAACTCGCTCGCAATTTACATTACTATGCCAGTATTTTGGAACAGGAGAGGAAATCTTCAGTTAAAACTGTTCCAAAAAAAAATTAAAAAATTAGAGTCGTCAATTAGTTCATGTCCGAATGCACACTTCCGTACACGTTTACGATAGAACGGATTCGGAAACATGTTAGATAAAATGCCCCACTTGCAACTCATTGAAAAAAGGTTACATTTCTGCACCATGTGAATTTCGGAGCCAAAGCACATTCACTTCATCTCTTAAAGTACTTAGCATCAACGATTCACAGGAAGATAATTCAGACTAAGAAAAGTAAAAGCGACTCCCTATTGAAATGTCTCATCTCACCATTTTCTGGCAGATAATGTATATCTGCGTTATTAGATCCTCATGGATAACTTCGTTCACAGTTGCAGATATTTTTTGAAACCTCACTGAGATAAATCTCTGATCTGTGAGAGGTCGTGGCTTTTTTTATGGAGGGGATGAAGTACTCACAGTAGGAAGTAAAACATGATGTAAGATCATGACTCTATGCGAAGGTTTTAATATGTCTGGGCATGAAAAAGTATTAAAGTAGGAGACACAAGAACTTCTCATTGCTTTTTTCAAAACAATGCCATATAAGAGAAAGCTACTGCAATCTGTTGTTGTTCTACAATGCTTGATATTACAATGGTGTGACACAAGTATTAGATAACGAAAATGATGTTTTTTTTCACCCGTCTTATGCTCAAAACGAGGAATCCATTGGACGGACTCACAGAGAGTGATTCCTATCCAGAATTGCTGCTTCTCAATGTAACTTGAACTTGTCTGGACGAGTACCTACAGAAGTCAATCTTTGTCAGCGCGCTTATTGGAGGCAACATCTTCTGACAGCGACCAACGACCTTGATAGGACAGAAGCTACTTGCTTTGAAACTGTGGTTCATTTGACCGTCATTCGAGATCCTTCCCCTTCACTGAATAAATGCCCACTGTCACTACTAAGTATTCTGGTTATTAAAGTTGAATTTGATAATCCGCACATCATCATCCAAAGCACCAATTTCATCTCACAAACATTTCCTTTCTCTCCCTATTTTTCGGCTAATTTTTTTAAAACTGTTACAGATTAAAGTCTGGTCGTTCTGGAGGATCTGAAAAATTCCGTCAAATGTCAACTTTGTGCGCTTCCATTTGAATCTTGACACTCATCTCCTCAATCCGTACTTAGTGATGAGAGTATCTGATAATAAGTAGTGCCTGTCTGCTCTCGGTGTGCACCTGAATTCAAACGAGAAAGGATATTGGACAAAATCTTCGTCATATCACTTCTTTGAATGTCCATGATCAAGTGTTTTGAGAACCTGCTAAGGGTACGACTTTGTTCTCAATGTAATGAAAAGTTCTGGCCGATGATACTCGAAAGAAGCCAGAATATGGTGATTAGCTTAAAGGAAGTTGTTGCACAGAGCTCTTCCCAAATTGAGCACCGAAAATACCATCTACTCATGCACTTCTGATCTGGATCCATCACAAAACTCATTGCGTTTGAGATCAGCATCCAATACCCCATTCGATGTACGTAAACAGTCCTCTTTTAGTCTTGATCTGTCTCCTTAATTCTCATTTTAACATTCGATAAACCCAGTCGGCTGAGTGACAGTTTGACTGAAGTCGGCACTTGAACTTGAAAAGGACATTGTCCACTTTTCCTGCGTGGGAGTATTATACCCAAATATGCTTTTTGGGCCCCACATTAATTCCGTCAAAGAATTCTGCTATAAAACGTGTCGTCCGCAAGTGAAGGACCGCAAGTGAAGGACTTGCATTCAGCTTCTGAGTCTCCTGAGCTTCGACGCTCGTGCGGGTGATAAGTCGTTCATCAACTCTTGTCCAGAAGCTTTCTCAAGAAGTTTGTGAGGTACGTACTCACGTTGCATGTTGTATACCTCATGTTTTGTGCACGTAGGAGCATGCACTCTTTTGCATGGGATTTCATTCATCCAGTGAATCATAACTTCTCTGGATAATGTTGAAGGCTGCATACGTTTTCCCTTTGACTTCATCCAGCTTTCTCCCAATAGCATCGATTGGAGATTGCTGAAAGTATATGTCCTTCAGGCTTCAACATGGTGTAAGCCACCTTCATATGGTTTCATTTGTTTCGTCGTCCAGTCTTCTGAGAAATGCAGGTAATTATAGCACAACGTGCTAAGATGAGGGTCATTTGAAACAACTTGCGGGACACCCACGACGGCAATCCTTATTTTTATGAAAAGCCTTGTAGCAACAGGCTTATCTATCTACATGGTTTTTACGTTGATACCATGTCTTACCAAGTCTCTTGGAGACACCATCGCAAATATAAAGTTGATCGTTTCACTCTTGTGAGACCTTCATTCTCATTCTTTCCCAGCTCTTGGTGGTGATAGCAGATTTTAGAAAATTATTTTGACGCCGTTATGGCTGGTCGATGTCTTCAAGTCTCTGACCTATTCTGCCTTCCAACATTTCTGCAGGCAGTGCTTCAACTTCTGCTCAACATGTTGTCTGTGTCTGAGGTAAGTTCTCTCGAAATATTATATTCTCCATCCTTACTCCCCCATCATCTACCGTAGCTATCCCAGTTATATGACTCTGCGCTGCGTGCGCGTGTGACTTGTGATGTAGTTCTTCTACGGCAATGTCGAGCCTCTGTGCGTGGTCGGCACGGCAGCATCTCCTGCAACATGGCTGAACATGCCCATGTCTAGCCAAGGTCAGCAGAATCCAGTATTGGGCTTTTCGAACCATGACATGACACGAGACCACCAGAATTTCTCCCTGTCCCGGCGCAACTCGCAGTCCCAGCAGAAGGTGAGTCAGTTTCGGGGCAATGTGGGATTGGGTGATCAGACTCCTCAACAAGGATATCGAGCCAGCAGCCAGCAGTATGGAACCTCGGACCCTGGTCAGCTGGACAACCAAAGACGTGGACCATTATATAATCGTGGTGTTGATGGAGTTGATGGAGTTGATGGAGGTGAGGAGCAGCAATCCCGTTTTTCTGGTGGCAGGCAGAAGGAAGATGTGGGTGGATATCATCAGCCGATGCAGCTTGGACGTCCACCAGTGCAGAATGGCGGCTCTGATGACCACGGCCAAAATTCGAATATGCGGAATTCGAGAACTCAAGAGACTAGCCTCTCGAATGGCCACCAGCAGTCCTCCGATCGCCAGATGCAGTATCTGGGCTCAGATGAGAATAAAAGTCCCGAGAGCTGGGCAAAGCAGAAGCCGAGATCTCTGAACATTTACAACAAGGAGAACAAAAACTTGAGGAAAAGTGAGGATCAGGGTCAAGGATCTTACAAACAGCCGCAGAATCAGCGCACTTGGCCTCGAGGCTCCTCGTCTGCAGATGATGGTGGTTCGATGAATCGCCAAGAAAACTACGTTCGAGGAGACGAACAAGGTTATGATCAGGTTGACAGCCAGAAAATTTCTCATAAGAAGCAGCAGGCCAACCTGAATGGAAGTCAGACAGCTTCAGCGATTCAGAACTCCAATGTTCACCCCCGTGATTCACCTTCATCGCAGCAAGTCTATCATCAAAATGCTGAGCAAAAGTCTTCTCCATGGCTTGTGAATCAGAGTCACGACCATTTGCAGGAGGTCTCGAACTACAATCCAGGTGGATCTGAGCATAACCGTGAGAGGGGGCGATCTTCATCGCAGGCAGCTCATCAGAAAGGCAATCTCGATGGAGGTCCCAATGTTTACCGAGAGGTGGACGGCTTTCAAGGGTCAAGCGACACTTCTCGCCGTGAAGGCATGAAATATGATGTTCCACAGAACCAGTCTGATCAGAGCACCAACGGAACAAAGAAGAGTTCTTATGACCTTACTTCGAACGAAGAGCATCACGACCAGAAGAAAAACTGGCCTCGGCACATTCCAAATGGATCCGAGCACGATTTCCGACACCCGCAGTCTCACGAGTTTAAGCGAGAGGGATATTCCAACAAGGTAATATATAGGCAGGCATACACACATGCCTGCCTCTACAACAATCCGAGCTATCTGCAATTGATGAATGAATGGGTCACCGAATTGTCTTCCTACAGTCATATGCAGTTCACAGCTATCGCATCAAATCGATAATACACAATGCATTTTGTGCATGGTCCAATGATGATTGACACCATCGCTGCTCATACAAAGTTGGAAGTTTCAGAGAAGCGTGCGGGTTTATTGTTTGACTGTGCAGCTGCAGTATGTACGCTTGTGGGTAGACATGTGCTGTGAATCCTGCGAGGACAGAGTTTCTGGTACTTTGTCAAAATTAGAAGGTGAGTAGACTTTCATTATCCCATTCAGGGAAGCAAGTTCTCAGGTATTCTTATGATCGATCATGTGTGAACCATGTGTTATGTTGAGTAGAATGATTCTGAATTTAAAGTGTAATTTCTTCCTAGAGTAAACCTTTGATCAGACAAATGTACATCTGCATAAACTTCTATCTATGCTGACAGTTGATAGCTAGGGCTGATTGCTGTGCAGGGGTGAAATATGTTGATGCCAACTATCAGAGCAAGAGAGTGTTGGTGCATGCCACTACTGCGCCTGCAGACGTTCTGAAGGCATGCCGAAATCTGCACAAAAAAGCATGTCTCTGGTCGGAGGACTTCCATGGACGGATCTAATCTTTCTTTGAGCTTCTGGACCCAAAGAAGAAAAATCACATACATAATACACACGCGTAAATAAAATGCTAATGTGGGGGCCTGATTGAATTCTGGTTGTAAGACTAATCTCGGTTCTGCGGTCCGCTGTGAAAGACCGGAGTGACTCTTAAGGCAGGTATGACTGGCGGCGTGATATGGTTTATTGATGTTAGATAAAAGATAGAGGATTTTCGTTGCTGGAGTGTGTACTTTTCACTGTAACGTGTTTATACCAAATAAAGTTCTCACTGTTCACGCTCAAATGCATGTAATATAAATTTATAACAAGGCCTTTTCATAAGTTTTTGTGACAGCCAAAATTTTCCTTCATAAATTATTATAAATTTAAATATAATTTTTTCCCTAGAAGTCATTTGAAAAAAATACATTCTTGTTATTCCATTGATCACATTTTTTATTCATGATTTTTTAACTTATGAAATACTGAAACATATATATGCATGATGTAATTGTGATATGCTTCTTTTTTAAATTTAGTACTTAGAAAGCTAAAATTATGGAATTAAGTAAAAAAAAAGTTATTAAATATTTTCAAATGAACATTGAAATTGATTATTATTGTAAATATATTTTTTATACACATTTTACATCACAAAATGTAAAATGTATTGTTTCAGACATTAAATAAAATACCAACTTTTATAAGTTAAAAAAAATGTAACGGAAAACTCAAGAATTCATAAACACCACAAACAGAGAAACAGTGCCTATATGAAAATAGATGGTTAGTCATTTTTGGTCTTGGAGAGATTTTGTTATTCTCGTGGACTTCCACGAGAATAACAAAATCTCTCCTAAAAAACTTGCAAAGTCGTTAGTGCAAGTTTTGGCTCAGCCTGCTATTCAAACAGGAAGCAAAAAGATTCAAGGTCTTACCCTAATTCTAATCCGAGTTAGGTCAATTAGAGTTTAATCCAAGATTTGAATAAATTTTTGATAAATTCTTGCAATGGAATGTTACTCAAGAGACTTAAACAGAAGAGTACAATTTTTATATTCATGCAATTGACTCAAACTCAAAGTCTATAAATAAAACATGAATATGCTCACAATATATTACTAAAATCATTACATTCATCGTTGTTGTAAGTTGAAGGTTTTATCGTTAATAATATTTTTACCAGACCCATAGCTTTCACTAGTCCTTTCACTTATATCTCCCGGAGGAGACAATTATCATATGCATCGTATTCGATTATCTCATATTCTATTCCACCACACCTTATGGCAGCCGTTTCGTTTCATTAATAGTTGTGTTTCATCAATAATGGCTGATAGAGTTTTAGCAGAAGTTTCCGCCACGAGACTTTTAGGCCGTTTGAGGTTTTTTGGGACCATACCCTCACCAGTTTTCTTGCTTCAAGCCTGTATTCTGTATTCCGACTTGTTCCCTGCCGTCCAGTCAGCCCGTTCTTTTCCATCATGCTAGGATTTAGGTTATCATTATCCTTCTTCTCCTGCATTCCACCCCGTAAACCCTAAACTTTCACAAACTTGGAAATGTTTTTTAAGCTTCGCTTCAATCGAAATGCTGATGAGACTTCACTCTCTGTCTCTATATTTTCAAAGTTTCAGTCGCATCTTAGTAAGAATTTCAAGCTATTATCGTGAACCTTGAAATGATCCCAGCATTTCAAGTTTGGAGATTTTAAGAGTAAAAATCGCCTTCAACTTCAGAGAGAAGTGAAGCTAAAATATTAACGGGTTTAACGATGCCAATTATTTCTTGAGAGAGCCTTGTCTAGAGAGTTGATGAGCCTGGATGCAGTACGTTCATTTTATTATTATTATTTTATATATCTTATACATTTTATATATCTTATTCATTGTTTTATGCACCAAGTATTGTTCATTCATTTCAGTGGATGGGCTACATTCATTTCACTCATACAACAAGCACTTCTACGAGAGTTGAGTTGCCAGTTTAGCGGGTTAAAATTTTTTCTTGGATCTTAACCTTCTGATTGCTGGATGTAGATGTAAGAAATTTCGATCAACATCCTGGTATTCTTGACTTGAGGTTGAGTATCTTGATGCATATACACCTTAACAACATCTGAAAATTCTCACAAGACTGTGTCCAAGAGTCTGTATTTAATATGAATGTAGAGTGAATTGATATACACTGTGGTCATGATCTGAGTCATTGTGAAAGTAGAGGTACATCATCTTCCAGAATTTCCCTTGACTTCCCGAAGCGTGGCTAGGGAGTGAGGAAGAAGAGCCAACGATGGACGGAGTAGTGGCACTTCCGGCACAGAGGAGTGTAGAGATCGAGACCATGGATGTTAGACGGCTGAAGTGGGACGTATAAAGAGTGGCAATACAACGTTGTCAACTTCACATGATTCAGGACAGGCTCATTTCTACTGGAAGATGTTGAGATAGAAGTTAAGGAGAGTACTTAGATAGAACTTCCATCCTCGATATTCGGGTTTCAGTGCATGACCACGAAATTCAGTGAGCATACTTCAACTGAAAGAAGGTTTTGGCCGTCAATCGTGAAATAAGGCATGTGCTTCTTTATTGATGAACATTATAAAATTGTCGGTCGAAATTATATATTTAGCCCTCTACTTTTCGACATTAACTGTCGATCCTGCCTTCGGCAGAACTTTTGTGGGCATCGACAACAATTTATAGAAACGAAGTCTCTAGACTCTACCAATTACGAACAGGGTTACTAACAACACATAAGCTTCCCGGCCATCTCTCATCGTTCGAATGTCTGCAACTATAGTCGATGTTTCAGCTGCATGTAGATTTCTAAGGTGTAAAAATGCCTATGACGAGCCCAAAGCAATACATCTCTCAACATGTAACCTCGCAGACAGCCACTTCACTACACTAGATCTCTTCTTGCTCCAGTGGATGCTCGTAGTGATCACCATCCGATATCACTCGTACTAACTTTGACAGCTCATTGACATCGATAGAATACTGCAAGAGGTGTGACGCAATCGTTCATGATAAGAGAACAAAAGCTGGAAGCCAAAAACGAGATGAGAGAGTAATTTGTTTGCAACGCAGATGGACTAGTGCCCGGCAATCATATAGCCTGACATTCTGCCCTTCTTGAGACCAATATCTTACACGCACCTCAATGCAAGGTGCAACCTCACCCCAACAAGTGATAATCCTCAGGTTGCATCCTACGGGCGTTTTGCCCAGGCCTTTGGTCCATGCTTTCCTATTACATCACCAGCAGACTTTTCCCGCCAGCACATGGGCAACCAAATCCGGGCCAGAGTTTAATAATGACTTTTACACTGACAGGCACATGCCCAGGCCGCTTTCATCCCAAGTAAAAACTGCATGAGTTCTCACTTTCGCTAGCTCTCGAGGTTGTAAAGGATTGACAGACGCAACAACTTCAGCTCCACTCTTTTTGTACAGGTTACATGTCACCTTCATCAGAAGAAAAGTCACCTCTGCAGCACCCTTGAAAACCTCTGCTTTGCTTGTGAGGTCCACAACACAAGTTTTCGGACAAGGAGGATACAATTACGTAGTGTACATTTGGAACATATCGGCAGAGTCAAGGTTTGATATGTGCCTGCGACATGGTATAATAGGAAACAGCAGACCCTTCCGACAGACTACAGAAGCTCTTTGCTTTGCTCAGAGTGCCATCCAAGGGCAGGGTTGGCTATCATGGCTGAAGTCAAAAAATGGAAGGTATCATCTTCGAAAGGATCAGGGTGTAAACAACAGACAGCACAGCTCCAACGGGAATGGTCACCATCCACGACGCCACAATCTCCCTGACCACTTCTCCACGAACGCTGTTCAAGCCTCTTGCGAATCCTACTCCCATCACCGCCCCCACTAGAGTATGAGTTGCTGAGATGGGGAGGCCCAACCGGGACGCAACGACCACCACTGAAGCCGCAGCAAACTCTGCAGCGAAGCCCCTGGTCGGGGTCAGCTCTGTAATTTTCTTCCCAATCGTAGCAATTACACGATAGCCCCACACCATCAATCCAGCTACGATACCGAAACCTCCCCAGGCTAGAATCTCAGCAGGCAGGCCCAGGTCAGCGCTCAATGAAGTTCCGTGCAAGATTGCCAAAGCCGCAGAAATGGGACCTATTGCATTGGCAACGTCGTTGGCCCCGTGAGCGAAGGACATGAAGCAAGCAGACAGAACCTGCAGGTAGCCAAATATGCTGTAAACGACTTTAAGCTGTGTTCCTGTAGGTCCACCGACTTTCATCGGAGATCTGGACAGCGGTTTCTCTTCTTTATCATCAGTAGGGATCGCGCAGAATTCCCCCAGGAGACTGCCTAGCTGCCGTTGTATGACCATATTGATCACTACTGCACCGACGGCTCCCAAACCAAGAGCCTGGGCAGCAGTAAGCAGAAGGGTACTGCGTGGAGGAAACGCCGTGGCTGAGAGAGCAGCCACTCCAATGAAAACGGCTATGGGAGCCACTGTTGCTGCTGCTTGTCCGGGATTAGGAGCACTGTAAACAAACTGTTGTTTGCATATTTCAGACGAAAAGTATCTAGTCAGTACACAGGTGGTCTGTCCAGTGCGTAAACAGGAAAGATGAATTTCTACAGGTAGGGACAAACATCGATCACTTTGAATTACAAGCACAAAATCGAAAATCCACTCCAGACGACCACTAGCTAACCAGTTGCAACCGGTCTAAATCGAGGTGCAGGGTCTAACAGGGTACAGAGCTTTCCCCCAAATCCAAAAAAAACTCTCGTTGAATGATGCTTGAAGCCAAGAGATTCAGAAGAAATATGTCCAACAGTTCCAAAATGCCAGAGTGCACAGCCGGTGAGAACCGCGAATGCGAGAGGACAGATGAGACCTACACCTGGCTTCTCTGAAAATGCGACGAGAATCTTCGATACGAGAATGAGGAGATGAAGATCTTCAGGAAGTTACCACAAGATGAGGAGGGTTTAGTTGCAGTCCAGGCGCACTTACCAATCGAATGCACATGTAGACGAGAAAAGAAACCGCAGCACCCATGAAAGGCGAGACGACCCAAGATGAAACAACCCTGAGGAGGGATGACCAATACACGGCTCCGATGCCTCCATATAACAAGCCAAAGCCCACCATGGCTCCAATAATGCAGTGTGTTGTCGACACTGGCCATCCAAAAAACGATGCAACCTGCACAATTCAGCCGCAGTGCATCCCTCTCAGAGCCTGCATTTTGAACCCACCTGAACTCTACGAGAATCACATGGGAACTTGAGTGACGACAAAGACGATAATTCCTTTGCCAACAATAATTCATCCAACAGAAAAATCAATTGTCGACGACGGCACCCATCTAACAGCAACAAGGGGCAATTTGTTGAGCCCGGATGATAATTTCATAATGCCGCAGAATCCATTGGGGAATTCTGAATCAGCGGGAGCGCAGACATTATTTTACAGCAGCAGGTACCACTTACCTGCAACCAAGTACCGGCAGCAGCCAGGGAAGAAAGCATTCCGCAGAAGAGGAGAGTCTCTTTGCCTTCGAAGACGGTCATTCGCAAAATTCCCTTCTGCATAGTGTGGCTGACATGTGATCCCACCAGAAAGGCTCCTCCAAACTCCAACACAGCGGCCGTCAAAACCGCCTGCCGCAAAGAGAGAGCTCCCGATCCCACGGATGTTCCCATGGCGTTGGCCACATCATTTGCGCCAATATTCCAGGCCATGTAAAACCCAAACAACAGCGTCACGTAGGAGAGGACCCTTGTCTTGACGGGCAACAACGCGCTCGTGGATTGCATGAACATGGGCACCCCGAAGGCGGCGAACGCAATTGCCGTGATGATCCCGAAAGCAGTTCCCTTGGAGATGTGGAAGGCTTCGGCCATTCCTTTGGGCCCGCTACTCTTCTCTTCTCCCGCATGAGCGGGAGATAATCCTCGCACAAGTGTTCCATTATCTTCGGCAGAAGGAGGGCCCTCGTGCATATTCTCAGCCTCGGGCAGCTTCTCGACCCCATCGTTCACATTAAAATCGTCAGCATTTGCTATCGAGGAGGACCTCACGGTGAGACTGCGCGTTCCATTGCGCCCAACGAAAGTCAGCGGCGATCGCAGCGACTTGTAGACTTTCAGGCTCAGGGGAGTGGTCAGAGACAGAGACAGAACTGGCAATCCGCGAGCTGGGACCTGTCGTTGGAATCGGGGCACGGTTTTATGGTCATGATGAGAAGCAGAGCTAGACACCCGATCGTGCAATGTGCTGAAATGGGGCCTGCCACCTGCCAAGGCAGCAACGACGGCAGACATCTCCTTTGACGCACTTGAGCACCTACAACAGCAATTCCTGCTTCATGCCCTGCAGGCTGGGAATTACGCCGCCGCTCTCCCGCTCGCTTCCTCCGCACACTCTCGTCTATAGCCTCCGCGAGTACAGAAAATTCATCCTTCCTAAGCCATTCCCATCCTCCCGCCTGTCCGCGCGCTGATGACAGCTCTCGACTCGAATCGAACCCACTCGAAACAGTCCAATCCAACCTGTCCGATCCAATCAAATGCAGAATACTCGATAAAATCTTCAATCGACAGCCCGTTCCTGCTCCCTCCCGCGAAGAATTAAAATTTCCGAATTTTTTTGCCACCAGAATCCTCGAACTCGACAATTGATCTTCCCTCCCAGAAAGTCCTCCTTCCTCGCGCCCGCCCACCCACTCGATTCCACCAAACCAAACTCACGACGAAGAAATCAGCAAGCCCTCCCGAGCGCCAGGATCTGCATGTGCGCGCATTCGGATTCTCAGAACCAGAGTAAGAGACTTCTGTCACCAGCACTAGGACTAGGATTCCTACTACTACTACTGCCACCAACTAACTTACCACAGCAACACAACAACACAACGAACAGCAACAATTGCAGCTGCAGCTCGCTCGCCTCCTCGATTGCTCGAGACCTTTCTTGCTGCCTGCCTGCCAGAGACCCCACAGCCTGGTCGCCTCCGCCCGACACAAGATACTATTGCATCCCGGCCATGGCAAGGCCACCACCACAACTACAAGTCGTTGCTGCTGCTGACGCTCCTCGCCCGTTGTTGATATGTATCATATCCTATTCGTTCCGCCAGTCCCCGCCTTCCCCTCGAGCCAACCGGCCGTCGAGCGAAGCCCTCTCCCGAACTCTTCGCCTTCGCCTTCTTCGTCCGTCTCGTCTCGTCTCGTCACGCCCTCGTCCACTTCCTCGTCGCGGTCCGAGACTTGCTTCTGCCCTCGCGCACGCCGACGGTCGCGATGTGCGACCGTGAAGAGCGGCAAGGATGCTCCAATGAGGATCCGTCCCGACGAGGTGAAGTTGGGTTCGGTCGAGGGAGGGATCACGTCATCGCGATCGACGCGATTGTCGCGGCTTTTTCCCGGCCGATCGGAGGCCTCAAACCACGCGCCGACTATCCAGGTGGGAGTGGTGATTGGCGGAACCCTAACCTGCTCTTGTGCCCGACTCGGATGTTGTTGGTGCCGAGGAACGAGCGAGCGTTTTGATTGGTCGGTTTCTCTAGAACAGCTGCCACGTGGACCTCTTTTCGCGTCGGGCCGAGCGCCCGGCGAAAGCACGCAAAGAAGTCGGGAACCGTGAACTTGCTCACGACGACAAGAGGAACACGTTACCCACTGACGGCTGCAAGAGGTCGCGCACGACTTTCTGTCTGTCATCCGCGACGGCACGAAAAGCCGGTTGCGATACTCTTCGGAGGACGACGCTACGGTACGGTCGTCGGGTGGCTGTGAGAATCTAGCTGGAGCGCCTCCTCTGCGCCTTTCGAGATTTGTCGGCTTCTGCTTTAGTGCATGAGGAATCAGGAGGCCACCTTTTGAATGGTCGCACCATCTTTCGCGGCCTTTATCTCGAATTAGAAAATCCTCGACCTCCTCTAAGCCAGCATCTGATCTTCGCAAATATGCAGCGTTTAAAATTCCCGGACGTTTGACATTTTTTATAAATGCTGGAGTGACTGATGTACTACATGCCTGCAGAGCAACTGCAAATCAGATGAACTCGATCGTTGCCAGACTATACAGTGAAATCAACGAGAATGAGTACGGAAAATGGAGAAGAATTTCACAGGCCTAGGTCCCGCCAAGTAGATCTTCTAAATATTAAATTCTAAGTATTACTGCCAGTAAAATAAATAATTTTTCCAACAATAGAAGACGCTTAACTAAATGTGGAAAATAATCTGGTACTACATCGACAAACGTTTAATGACAGATCGCAATTTTTATCAAAGCGTCATTGGAATGCTGATGAGAGTCACAGCCAGATAATCGTAGGAAAGAGATAAATTCGGAGGCCTAGAAGTAAGTGACATCCGTGTTTGGTAAAAAAATAAAAATAAACCATGCACGATGGACTACGACGTAGTACATACTACATCGTAGTTGCCTTTGATAGTTGCTTTAGAGGAAATTTTGTTCGGTCAAGGTCACGTGAGAACAGCATGTGCATCAAGTTTGCTATTTACCTTGCCAAACCCAGATTGGTCAGCTCGAAGATTCTATCATGAAAACACCATAACCACGTCTAGAGGAATTAAAGGCGGACAGATGAATAGGCGTTTAAAAATATTAAAAGCAATTAAAAGTTCGGGTACTTCAGTTGAGGCCTCCATTCGCTTGCACAACGCGTGGAAGGCGTCGGAACCCACCACAGAGTTCGAGTGACTGTGACTGGCCCCTACGACAGACTACGTTGGGGAGGGCACAGCGCCTCGTGAACCGCGGAAGGTCTACGCAGTTAGTAGGGAGGAGGGAAAGTCCCGGACGAAGTAGTTACTGATACAGTCTCCGCCTTCTCTCCGTGGGGCAATGATAACTTAGCCGTAGAGAGAGGGAAAGGCCGAAGGAGCCGAAGGAGGCCACTTTGAGCACGACAGCCGTTATCCGGTGCCGCCAATTAACGGCAGGTCGTGCCGGATTGGGTAAGAGCGGGCCGGGTCCACCGCGCGAGCTTTGTATTGGCTCCACATGATATTGCCATATAAAGCAGCCATATACTTCGTGTGTGGCTTTGTTTCTGCTCTGATCCGATTGCTCATCATCGATGGCATCAGCCCGTCGCCTTTGCGTTTCGCCAACACCATCATGCGCCTCCCCTCCCCTCCCTCGCTCGCGAACATTGCAGCGACAGAATTGCTGCCATGCCTGCCATTCGACTTCGGCACGGAAGGAGGCCTCCGATTGATTTTCTGCTCAGAGTTGTGTCATGGTACTGCTGCTGGTGCTGCCTGCCGGAGTCAGTCATGCGACTGACGCCTTCCACAAGTCCAATACTGTATTAGCTGCGAGCTTCATGGCACAATTGGAGTTACTCCTATCTTGTCTGGAACCCTAAGTTTTCTCTGGAGACGACGGTGTTCCTTTCATGTGGTTCACCTTTGACTTCTTTTACCGAGAATCTTACACTGCAGAATTACCTTTTTTATTATGAACCCTTTGAACCTGCGCGACAATATAGCATTGCGATCTCTTTTCTTGCTTCCTTGGAAGAAGCGCATTTGTAACGAGTTTCACAGAAATTGATTCTTGATCATATACTCATACGAGCTATCATGACTTGCACCAGGATATAAAGCTCTTAGGAAAATTGTACATTTGCAAAAATGAAGTCCATGTTCAATTACAAAAGATATATGTGCATTGAAATATTTTATATTGGGCATACCAGGCGTGAGGATGAGAAAATCGCGTATGCTGTTAGCTTTCTTTGTTGAGTCCATTGTGATCTTGACGAGGATTAAACCTGAGCAAACCAACATACTCCGAATAAAAAGGATTTGGCTTCACAACATAAGAAGTACTATGATTATGAGTTTTGAAAGATTGATCTCATGATAATAACCTAATATCTCGTGGATAGAACTTACATTATCATTATCTTGAATAGAAAATAGGTGAAGTACATTCGTTTTTTTATTGCAGGAATTGCATATCACAATTTCGTCCAATCTTTCATCTAGTCAAAATCAAAGATTGTTCAATCTTTGATCTTGACTATCTTTCTATAAAGTGCAAACTTTAAAAACCTTGTACCTCATTCATGTCTTAGAAAAAATATTTTAGAATTTTGAAATCAAATAAAATTCGGACATCTCACATGATATTAGATCTGATAGCAATTGTTGTAATCTTTCCACTGTGTTAGCAGTCTTGGACCTAAGAGACCTTTTCAAGTATGAGCTCAAATGCTCCGTCAAAATTTCCTCCAGCATAAGGTAGAATTGTATCACAACCTGCCCGACCATGGCTTATACTCATATGGCAAAGATACCTCCAGATCCGTGTCCTGATTACTATTTGCTATCATGTGCATCATCATCGAAAGAGGCCGTCGAATAGGCCAACATCTGTGGCATTCTTCTTCCTTCTCTGGAATTAGGGTCCTGTGTTTGGTGGGAACTCAATTTCAACCTAACACATGTCCATCATGCCCGATTGCTAATCCACTTCTGCTCCCTATTTTTGAAGTGGAATTTTGCACATGTGTAATCAAAACTTGACATACAACCTGAAAAACGGTCTATGAGATATTGAAACTGCTCAGTTTCCCTACCGACACTTCCGTTTCTGATGAAATCCGGGAAAACATGAGTTCCACCTTTAACGAAAAAAAATAAAATTTTTAATTATTAATAGTTTTGTGGACTTGGACTTGGACTTCTTTAATTCGTGTGAGAAATTCTAAGCTTTTCAACCTCGCGTAGAAAGTTATTCCTACACGCTCTAATATTGCTAGTCCACTGTTGGACGAGATCTGACGAGGTCAATAGGCAAGACACGTGTGCGGGAGCTTGGGGATACTGGTCTAGCGATTATGGAACTGGATCTGGAGTGATGGGGTCTGTTATTAGCAAGTTGGAACATCTAATACATTTTATACCGACTCATGACCACGAATGATTGGCTGATGTTTTAAATATAAATCAAAGCTCAGTACAAACAGAAACCTAGACTTCCTTTTGACCCGAGGAATTTGAGATAGCACTCTACCGTAGTACGACATTGCATGGGACTATTTTCTGATGGAATGCTGAGATGGTCCACCTATGCATGTGACAAAATCAGCAAACATATATTTATCAGGATGATCATAATATTCAGGGTCTCATATGCTCATCATGCATGCCAATCTTCTTGGAGAGATCGAGGACAAAATCTCAAGCGCGTGGAATAAAATGCTCAGTCATTTTAACTGAAATCAAATTAGCTTGTAGAAGGTTTCTAGCAATATTATATTTCATGAAAAGGAGGAGTTTGTGAGGTCCACTCGACCTCGGCAAACTCACCCCTTCAATTCTGTGGCTTTGGACATGAACTGGAATAAAGCGTAAGCGAGCTTAACCTGCAGACCGAATAAAGTGCTCTTCATTGGCCTAGAATGATTCATAAGGAATCGAAAAGAGTAATCATTTGGCGAAATGTACTGTGTGGTCAGGTGGAATAGCTGCTTTTAGTGTACTTTTATAACTTTTCTCATTCTCATCATCAAATGTAATATAGAAAGCTTGCTTCTAGGGTCGTTCATTCTACATCATTGTTGATGTTCATACATATATTTTCCTCACTAGAAAGAATGTTAGCTCTCCTGATTGAATTTTTCATTTGTATTGAAGGGAAAGTTCATTCTTGATGATTTACAATTTTATTGTATTCCATATCATTTGTAATATACTTACTTTCAATGTACTTTCATAACTTTTTACATTCTCATCATCAAATGTAATACATAAACCTTGTTTCTAGGGTCATTCATTCTCCATCATTGTTGATGTTCATACATACATTTTCCTCGATAGAAAGAATGTTAGCTCTCCTGATTGATTATTCTATTGAAATTGAACGGAAAGTTCATTCTTCATGATTTACAATTTTATTGTATTCTTTACGAAACACCATTAAATGTCATTTACGTTGCTTGGACTTCTCAACCATGTAACAGCTGTAATCACTCCTTTCCATGACTTAGTTATTTCCTCAATTCTTCCATGAGAAAACAGATGAAAGATATATGAACAAAAATGTGACATAACTTCCACAAAAATCTTGGACATGAAATAATGGAATTTGAAATATAGAGTTTCTTCCATGCAATGAAGTTGTCAACCGAACACTTGATTAAATAAATAAAAAAATATATATATGTATATTATCTACATTTTTTCCTCACATATATATCAACCTTGAAATAGCTAACATCAAATACCTCCTATTAATGTTAACTTATTTTAATTATTAGTTTGAATGTATTAAATAAAATTTTAGGCTTCTAATAACACTTTGCATAATCTACTAGAAATTCTAACGTGAATTTTCAGAATAATAACGGTGAATTAAATTTTTCAATTATGAATTATAAAAAAATGTCTATACAATCTGAAGTTATTCTCAAAGTGATTCAAAGTGAATTTTATAGTGACGAACCACACTTGATTTTTCTTTTTTTATTACAGTCGCAACAACGAAATTAAAATCTCATCATGATATAAAGAATACTGAAAAGAACATCCCTGTAAAGTTTTATTAAAAGAAAGTAATTGGTATAATTATCTTTAACTTGATGAGTGCTTGAATGCATTTAGAAAACGTGCGCATTCAAGCATCTGTTCTATTTCAGGTCACAAAACTTGAATGATGTATATTTATAAACTGTCGGTTTTTCATGTTTCCAATAAATCGAGAAGAGAGTAAGTACAATGCCAAAATTACATATGACATCAGATACCCAAAATGAGATCCAAAAATTCAAATCGATGACCTCAAAGCACAATATAAACAGATTACTATCTAACGAAGGAAGAAATTGTCAAATCAATATACATTGCTAGATTTCATTATATTCCAGCTTCAAAATGCTCTACTAGGTCAGGTATTACTATATTTCCCTTTTTAGCAGAAACTTTCCTATTTTTTCATTCCTGTGTTTTACCTGATATGACTTTCTATCGGATAATGAAAACCTTCAAACTTTGTAAACAAGCATATTGATCCACTAGAACATTGTTTTCATTTCTACTTAAGTTTTCCTGTCGTTCTTGAATATTTCAGTGACATGAGCATGAAATCTTTTCAGAGAAAGAAACATCGGGAGTTCATTCCTGTTAAGATAGAGCCAACTGAGAACTGAAATCTTCATGTTTCAAAGAAAATTGGGAATTCTATCAACTCGTATTGAACCAATTCATGTTAATTTTTTTCATTGACCATAAAACGATTTTGATATGAAATTATTCACCAATACATCACCTTTGAAAATTGAAGGAATGATAATTGAAAATGCATATTTACCTTGAGTCAAGTTTACCGTAAAAGTTTGAGAGTATTTAACTAATGGTAGCATATAAAGTCCACTTTGTATATAGGAGCCGTATGCAATCAGAATTATTTGAAGCTGATCACAAAAGTTTAAACCATATATGTAGCGCTTAATTTCCTTTGTTCATAGTCTTCTAAACGTGCAAACCCTGAACAGTTTCATGGCCATTGTACCAAGAATCTGAAAATGAGATTTTTGAAGTACCTCTTTAAGTTCAAAGTGACTTAAAGAGGTTGCCATGTGGGTGAAGTCTGCTGGTAAATCTCCTCTGAATTTAGGTAGTGTCCCACGAAGAAAACCAGTGACTACATAGTCAAAAAGAGTGATTATCAAAAGCTTGGGCCAGAAAGATATCATGATTCAGTCTAAATATTCCACAATTACGTGCTGCCTTTGTCGAGATTTCCGCAGTAGTGACTCTCAGGTACTTTCATCAGATTCCCTCTAGTGCTTTTTGGATGGATCCTTAATCCTTTAGCACAGGGATGTTATAAAGTATCACTCGTCCATCAGTTAGAGACGAATGTAATGAAGCCTTTTCGATCGTGAGGATTATACTATAAAGTGGTCTGACTGACCCGGCATCTGTCTACTTAAAGTGAAAAATTGCAGAATCTGATCATCTCAGCTGATTGGTGTAAGCAGATGAGTCTGTCAAAGCTCTCTCATAAGAGATAGAATATTTTATTCAACCCATCATGTTGCTCAATTTTGTATAGATAGTTCAAGGCCCAGAAGCGCATGGCTTGACCTGGTACCGTACAGAGTACACTAATGTTACGCAAGTTTACACACAGAATTCAGTTTTTTCACTGCCTTGAATTTCCGCTCCTTTGAGCCCACTGTATTTCTTCTTTGTTTCAGTCAGCTCGACAAGCCTAATACGTCATGCCATAGAAGAAATAGTGAGACTTCATAGATTGTTGTCAAACCAGTAGACCTGTAACTTTAGTCTCTTCACAGTCGCCCAACTCCCCGTAAGCCTGCCATCAGTTTTTGAAATACATTGCAGAAGGGAACCACGTTTTCTGTTATCAAATCATGGCAAGAAGGCTTGGGCGATTGCTCAGTTTGCCAGAACCAGATTGTGGGTTTGAAATCAACGCTGGAAACTCTCTGCCACAAGGTGCGGATCATTCAGAAGGTCTACACTGATCGTGTTGCCGCACTGCCCGTAGTCCCAGCTCCTGCAACGGTCACAACATTGTAGACCATCTGAAATGAAGCTGGATTGGATTTCTATAGGTATCAGAGATAAGCAATTGCCTTCACGATATTGTTGCATGTT